TTATTTCAGAGCATCAGTGGATAACAGTGTTTGGAGAATGATTTATTTTGCATTCTTTCTCAGTTTGGTTTGCATTTTTCCACTCTTTACAACTAGCTAGTCTAGCCAGATTCATCCCAAATTAAGAACAGAAATTAAGCCAAAGTCAAAAGAAATTCAAGTACAACATCGTTTAGGTTACAACATTGGAAGATCATTAGGAAAAAAAATGTTCAGGATGTTCTATTTTAATACACGCACAATTCTGTGATTCATGAAGACGGATTCACACTCTGGCACTCATGCAGGCAGAACTAAGGCAAATAGTCAGATCATTAGATATGTCAAATTACCCACGAATGTGATTTTCACATTAAGCTTCCTTTTGGGTTTCACATTCATTTGTTGGCTAAACTTTGGTTATTTCTTGAGCTGAAACAATTTTGTGTTCAAAAAGAAAGAGAAGATTTTTTTGTTGTTTTTGTTGTTGTGATTGCTAGGAATAGTCYAAGCTCTGATATGTCTATAATCAGTGATAATTGTTTCCTGCTAGCTCAATGGAACATCATCTTCCACAAGGATTTGGACTTAGTTTGTAATTCCTTAAACATTACTCTCATGGGCAGCATCCTAGAAATCAATGGGCTTAGTAATAATCAGAATGGATACTTACTAAATTTTAAAATAAAACATATGTTAATAACCAGTTTTAACCAAATATCCTGCTTTATAGAGCAACAGAATTACAGCCTGCATTCCCAAAGAAAGAAAACATTTCAACTCCTTTTCAKCTTCCTGGAGATTTGCTTTGCTGAAAGTTACTCTCTTCCCTTAGGAAAAGTAATTTCTCCTTTCTCCCAGATTCTTGAGGTTTTATTCACTACCATGTTTCTGAATGATTTATTTTCTCCAGAGCAGCAGATTAAGGAATCATAAGCAACAAAGAGAGGGGAAAGGAAGACCAGAATTCAGGGGAAAAAAAAAAAGGAATTCAGAAAACCAAGTTGCTTTGTCAAGAGTAATAGGGATCTTAATGTTTCAGGTTTCTTTTAACTCTGTTTCACTGCTTTCCTGGTGTTTTCTCATAAAGACCTTGCCTAGGGAAAACTAAGAGTATTGAAGAAGCAGGTCTTACAATCACTCTGCCTCTTGAATGATTATCAGGAGTGAGCGAAGGTGAAGAGAGACAGGAACAACATGACCACACTAAAGACATYCATATTTCTCAATGTTTCTCCTCTYGTGAATATGTATTATGTGCAGCAGAGTAGGGAGAAAATTTTCTTTCCCCAGGACTTACAGGTAACAAGCAAGTTTTGCAAATAACTTGAAGTGACAGCATTAGCAAAAAGCTTGACAAGCTATTCTGCCACAGTGCAGTATTTCAAACCAACTGAATAAACCAAATAAACACATTTCCCATAATAAAAAGACAGAATGCTACAGAGATGCCACAACTGGCAGAAATCTGAAAAGCAGAGATGGATGTATAAAAGTACATGGGTAGGGGAGGAATTCTGCTGAAATCCCATCACCACCTCCAACTGCAATGTACAGGATGAACTTTGATTTCTGCTTTCCTCAAAAGCTGGAAAAGGTTTGCAACAGAAAATCTAAACGCCAGCCTGCAGTAAGATTTTTTAAAAAGGCAAGACTTCAAAGGAAGTTCTAATGAATTATTCCTAGTCAGTTCATTCATTACAGATCTGTCAAAGCCTGCAGGGTAAGAAAAATTAAAAAATATTTTTATGCAAGTTTTTGCTAGTTTTAATTTTACATTCTTTTTTCATAATAATATGCTCTTGTCCATAAAATGACTATATAAGTGGGATTTTGTTCAGAAAAGTTGCATGTGCACAAGAGCTGCACTTGACACAGCAATTCTACATAAAAACATTATTTGGAATTTCTTCAGAGGCTGCAGTCTAAGGGGGGATAATCTGTCAAAAGGCAATTCTCTAGAGGTTTCTGCTGCTGGAAAACTTTTCAATTTGACATCTACAGTACTCAATTTCTTTTGACTTGTACCCTTCCGATATAAAAATAAAGTCATTTGAGGCTACTTTTTAAAAAGTCAATAAAACTTGATTTACAAGTTCATTCATTTACACTTTTGAGGAAGTTATTGGGAAAAGGCTAAGAATCTTGTAAAACTAAAGGTTCTGAGAATAAAAATATCTCAATCTGGCTATTAAAGCCAGTATAGCTTCAGACATGAATTATGTCAAGTAACAACCATTTAATATATAATCTCATAAACCAACTCCACATCAGAATTGAATGTATTATTCACGGGCTTAAGTAACAGTCTGTGTTCTATTTAGCCCATCTAATTTTTCAACTTGAATAAAATACAGTCTGAGATGAAGAACCCTCTTTGCCAACCAATCTCTGTATTTTATGCAAAAATCTTTTCCTCAAAGCATAAACAGGAGACAGAAAAGACTTTTTTAAGACCACTAGTTCCTTGACAAGCAAATGCAGAAACCCTTCTCCCCCACCCCAGTACATAGGACAGAGAAGAGAGATCCATGACATAAGCCAGGTCCAACGTTTGACTACAAAGAACTTGAAAGAGCATTTCTTAAGAGAAGAGCAAACTCATTAAATTTACCTAAGATTATATTCAGTATATAAAATAAACATTCAGGCTGGAGCAAGTACTTGGAAATACATAGTAACAGCAGGAAAAAAAATGGTGTGGTAATGTTTCAGCAGAGACTTAAATAATTCTCATTTCTACAGATTCTTTGATTGTGACAGGCWGAAAGGCTTATGTRAAATTTTTAAAAATAAAATAAAGATTCACAAATTGAACCCCTGCCARAGAGTACCTGTGTCATGAATTCAATATGTCAGTATATAARGATTTTCATGCCTTTGAGTCTCCTGGAAATGTGCTAATTTGAAGATTTCCATTCTTATGAACAGAAATGTTTTTGATGCAGATATGGATTTAAATCCTTCAGCTGAGTAGTTCAGAGTTTYGTCCTAATTTTTGTTTTATTCAGTTATTGTGCCAGCCGGTAAGTCTGTCAAGTCTTGCAAATCAAGGCCAGGTTATACAAATAAAGCTCTGTGGAGTACTTTGTTATCAGCAGGATGCTGTAGAAAGTGTTCACAGTAAGTCTACAGATCACCAACTTGTAAGATACTGCAAACTGACAGGAAGATAGGCTCAAGACTGGAAGTGATCTTGACAAGTTAGAGAAATATTCCGAAAAAAATACACTGAAAAAAAATAGATTACAGTAAGGGAAGTGCAAGGCAGTACATCTAGGAAGAAGACTGACTGCAGAAACTGCAGAAAGGGAATTAGTGCTATTCAGTGGTTCTGCTGAAAGGGATATGGAGGCTAGTGTTCAGAAAACACAGAAAACACAGAAAACAGATGTTACATGTTGCAAGAAAGGTATGAATATTGGGATTTGTAAAAGAGATTGCTGCATGAAATATGTCTGCTACTCAGTTCTGTCAGGAACATTCCACCCAATTTTAGGYACAAAGTTTGAAGACATCGATCGTGTGGAAAGAGGGGGGAAATGACAGAAAATAGAGGRGGAAAATAGCATATGTAGTTTAGAAATGACTAAGGGCAAGGATATTTAAGAATAAGACTGTCCTGATCAGGGAGATTACCTCCATCACTGACCTTTTTCAAACTTGGATCAAGACAAACATCAGGTAAGAAGGGATTAGATATAACACAGTTTTGTTTGTTTTTTAATTCTGAAGGAAATGGGACGAACTAGAAAAACACCATTATTTTACTCCTGAATTCCTTCATAGAGAAGATCTGTATTCCTGCTCTTGTCAAATCTGCTGYGGTTTGCAAGGCCCGGAGAGCTGTGGCCAGGAGCACAGCTATCGTGGCAAGGAACAGGGGGTTATCTGAAAACCTGACGTTTCCAGGTCACATATGAAAGCTGTGGGAGGTTAATGCAAGTGAGATAATGAGACCACAGCCAGGTGGGCAGCCCAGTCCCATCCCAGTAAGTTACTCTTAGTGACTTGCTTGTGAACTTAGGTTGTGTTCCTCCTCTTTGCTTTCAGTGTAGAGTGTGACTGTCAGCCAAACAAAGTTTTTGCTGAGCATCTTTCAGGGTCTTCTTCTAGGACAGGTAAAACCTGTCCTAAAAAAAAAAAAAAAAAGGAATCCAAAAGGATTATTGATCATTCCTGACTCAAAATGATCAGCTCTTTAATCCTTTTTCTCTTCTCTCTTCCAGACTTGTACAGCCCTCGGTTCCAGTCCTTCCTCCTATGTTTCCTAAGTCTCTGACATTCATGTTAATAAGAAGCCCTCTCCAGTTCACCCACATACACCCACATCTAATACTTCTGAAAGTGTGTATATATATATAAAATGAAAGTTTCTTAAAAACAACCAATAGTTTTTCTCTGCAATAGAATTTTCCAAGCGACTTCTGGCAAAGAAATTATGGCAAGAATTCCAAGCGTGCATTGTCAATTTGATATGTACTGTAGTTGATCCAAGATGAGTTCCCAAAGTCTGTAATGCTTCRGTCATCAGAATGAAAAGGTTCACCACAGCCATCAGACTGACACTCTTATTTTAATAGGTATATAGAGGACGATAGGCATGATAACAGTGGTGCTTCAACACGAGAAACCTACACACTTGACACCTATCACATCAAGACATCATGTCACAGGAATCCGTCTCTCTGGAGCAAATATCCTCAGTATCCTCAGTAGTATATCCTAAAGAAAACTGAAGTTTCCATAAATTCCTTCCTGTCCTTAAGAATGCCTTCTTCATTAAAGGGAAATATTTGTTTCTCCATATGAGAGTTCAAGGCACAGTAAGATTTCTAACTGCTTTTCAATATCATTTACTTAACCCTTTTCTCTGTGATGTGTACAAGAATGAATTACATGTTTTCATTTTRCATTTTAGTTTATTCGAAGAATTTTTTTTCATTCCAAACCCTAAAAAGTATAGTGTAATGTGTTAACTACCAAAATAATTAAATTATACCAATATGCAGACATACAAAAATGGTTCTTAGAGCTTAAATGCTTAAGTATGTTGTTACGGTCTATAGAAGCATTTTTGTAGAGTCTTTGTGAGTATTAAAGACAAAATCCCAGTCCCACTGAAGAGAGCTTATTTCTTTTGGTACTGCTGTAGGTGGCAAATAACACGGCAGAAATGTGTTGCAATTCAATTAAAAAAACACAGGAGAAGAAACAAGTATTTCCCTTTATTTATATGTATCTGTTTACCATACAAACTATCAATATGTACATGCACATCAAAGATTAATATTAGTAATAATCAAATACTCTGTCATATAATACTTTATACTGCTATAATTTGTAGCAAGCAAATTTTAAGCAAAAGGAGAAGTGGCTTCAAGTATTCCAAATTGATTTTTAAATCAGTTAGCAGCAYGATAATAGACTATGAAAACAGTGATCACGAGAGACCTGTCTTCTTAACATATATATCTTATGTTACTCTTACTCCTTGGCCAGCTGTACATTCGTTGGTTTTGCTCCAATGGGTATCCCATGTTTGTGCAAAGTGCTGATTAAAATTTCACGCATTTCTTTGTTGTAGGAGTCAAAGTCAAACACGTTTCGAACGACATTTGCCAATCCTTCCGTTGGAAATTTCTACAAAGAAAAAAGGCCCCCACATTCTTTTATTGAATATCTCTATTAAGTTATGGCACAGTATAAAGCATTTTTCATGTGAAGAGTTTTAGCAGTAACTTTGCTCAGCTTATACAGATGCACAAGTTTAAAATTTCCTAAAAAAGGAAGGAAAGCTGACTGAAGTAAGGAACAAGATGCCGACACTAAATCTGAATTAAACAAATAGAAAAAAAAATTAAATAATGTTTTTTAGTCTTCTCTTCAATAGGGATTTTAATTACAAACCTTTAAAAGGATGTGCTAACAACTGAAATATAATTAAATATAGCCTRCATTTTAAATTTAGAACTGCTTTCTGCTAACCAGGGAAATATGACACAAAAATATGTATTCATGCACTCAAATGAATAATTCATTTAAAAATTTTCACTGTTGAATACAGAAAAGTAGAAGATACATTGCTATTTTACAAAAAAAAATGACTTTCAGCCATGGACACTATGATGCATTTTAATAGAAATGAAAATTAAAGATGTACATTTTTTTAAAATTAGTGACAAATACTACCTGAAATGTGCTGACATAAGGAAAAAGGGTTTTCAAACTTTCTTTATTATTTCTTCCAACACAGAAAGTGCTAACTTTGGTTAGTGAACTGGGCTGATGATTTATGGCCAGCCATGCAATTCCAGATTTCAGAAATAGCCTACTTCATCTTTCTACACCTATTAATTTTTGCTGTGCTGCAAGAAGAAAACAAATTTTCCTGCCTTTTTATTTCCCAGGAGACTTAAATGCCTTGACAGAGCAATCATTGAACTGACGTAGTAGAATAAACTGAAGTATTTCGCATTTTTGTCGGTGTTGTGTTTTGTTTTGGGTTTTTTTTGGAAATTTGTTCTATAGCTGGTAACATTCTGCTTAAAATGACTACTCCTTACTGAATGAAACAGGTTCCTTCCAACAGATGCTTCAACTAAAGCCAGTATAAACATTTCAGCATGGCTCTCTATTTCTATAAAGTGCAGCCAATAAACTGGCACCAACCTATCTCATTCACACAGCACATGTTGTTTTACCTGCCCTACACTAAAGCCTGAAGAAACCTTGCTGAAATGACTCAAATATTACCTTTTCAGTAATAGTTTCTAAGTATTTCTATTTTTTCTGAATCCTTCTGACATCAACATCCATCTCCTCAATGAACGCTACTGATAGTTCTGTGCCTGCTGTACCAGTAGGAGGTTTTATRAAATTTATTTCCTCAGGTTTTGACCACTGTCAAAAAACTTTCTGAACACAAGTACTTGCCAAAAGGCCCTTCCTTTCACTTACCAAAAAAATTTCTGTTTTAATCAGTACAAATGTAACTAATTTTTAATAACTGCCTGGATAGCTGCCTATTGAAGAAAAGCAACGACAGTTCTCTTGCAGGAAAAAAAAAAACACCTTTGAACATTTGAGTTAAATTTTTTTAAAAAAGTCGTTTGCTTTCTATTGATTTTTAAAACCCRATTACTGGACAAAATATTGATCTCTCATCAGTCTGTCTGGTTCTCATCCATTGATTCATTCCGCATACAAGCAATATCTCTGTGWGCACCTTTGAGTACTTTCATATTTTAGATTCTTGGCTATTTCTTAAAATACTCAGTAACATGTTTTTTGCTTGCAATAATTCTATATTATGTATATTTTATGTGTTATTGGATGCAAAATTATTACAGAATTTGTCTTGGTAAAAAGAACTCTGCTTGTTAGAGATTTTAGTTTCCAAGAGAAYATGTATTGCTATAGTCTACTTCAAACGTATCAGCAGAAAAGACTTTTCAAGCACATATAAGGAACCTTAAATTATTTTATATACACTGATGCAYGCCTACCAGCACTCCTGAAAACAAAGTGACTATTTATTCATTTATTTATAGCCTRTGTTCTCACCATCACTCACCCTTCTATGTATTTTTGTGACTTCAGATCTCTGTGCATTTCCCGTGTTGCTAGCACTGCAATAACCACTGCTAGGCCTAATCCTGCTGCCACGATAGCCACAGATCTCTCCCSACCTGCTAGTTCCTCCCTGCCCTCATCTTCCTCTGCCGTCTTGGAGGCCTCTCCACATCCTATGGCTCAACCTGAGCTACCTGCGTGTTTATTGATTAGCCAGTACTTTGTGTTTGACCACAGAATCACAGAAGGGTTGGCGTTGGAAGAGACCTCTAGAGATCATCCAATCCAGCTCCCTGCTCCAGCAGGGACACCCAGAGCACGGGGCACAGGGCGGCATCCAGGCAGGTTTGGGAGATCTCCAGAGAAGGAGACTCCACAGCCTCCCTGCGCAGCCTGTGCCAGGGCTCTGSCACCCTCACAGGAAAGAAGCTCCTCCTCACCTGGAGATGGAGCTTCCTGTGTTGCAGCTTATGCCCATTTCCCCTTGTCCTGTCACTGKCCACCMATGAAAACAGTTCAGCCCCMTCCTTCCTACATTCTCCCTTCATGAACTTATAYGTGTTAATCAGGTCCCCTCTCAGYCTTCTCTTCTGCAAGCTGAACAGGCCCAACTCACTCAGTCTCTCCTCATATGAGAGATGTTCCAGTAACTTAATCATCTTTGTCACTCTGATGGGCAAACAGGCTCCTGGTGTGGATGGAGCAGCAAGGAGAGGGATACAGACAGCAGCGGGATAAGCCTGCTTTCCTTCTGAGATTTGGCCAAACAGAAAAGCAAAATATTAATCACCTCTTAGCACAATGGTGCAAGACCCAGACGATCAGCAGATTCTAGGGCCAGAAGGTACCTTTGAAATTTACTGTTTGAAAAAATAATCTCAGACAAACAAGACGGGAATATATATCAGAAAAATCTTCTTCCCTAAGCTCAACTGTGTCAGAAGAAAAGCTATTTCAGTTTAATTTGCAGTTATGTGGCTTGTCTGATTAACATCTGTCAGGGATACTGAGAGAATGTGGACTTTGCAAAATGACACAGAAAAGGTTTAGTGAAAAAACAGTTTGCACAGAAACCATGGGAGAAACGCAACGGAGGAAGAGCAGAGGTGCCTTCTTACCCCAAAAGCCACTATCAGCATCAATACCTCTAATACTTGACACAATCTGACAATTAATGAAACCTTTTTCCCTAAGAAAAGCCCAGCACAGAATGCAGAACCTAAAGTACAGCTACAGCCTAGGTGCTAATCTAATCACGATGCCAAAATGCCCTTATGGCCTTTTTTATGACACAACTCTATATGTTGAAGACTGTGATTAATCAGAGTGCTGAGGCTGGCACAGTTCAATTACCTGTTGATGTCACAGAATATTCTCTAAATATTCTCAGAATATTTAGAATATTCTCTAAACTGACTAGCCCCAGTGCTCAGATGTGCTTTCAGATAACCAGAAGTAGCTGCAATTATTTCTTCCAAATTTCCAATCCTTGTTTTTTTTTTTTTGAATGAAAAAAAAATAATGTGAAAGAAATCAAAACAATAGTACAAAGAAAGTGGGGCTGTGGAGCTGCTGTAAAGCAAACTGTTTAACAATGTGACTAACTTCCCTCCTTCCTTCCTAAGAACCAGCAACTTCATTGACTCATTTCCCTCCTTCCTTTTTCTTCCCTACCTCAAGACTTAAAAGCTTCTTCCTTTAGCATAACCATTATGTTTATATTCACTGTTTACTTTTGGCTACTCCTGGCTTTTTTTATTATCCAGAATGAAAAGCAAGCTCCCGTAAACAAAAGGCTGAAGCCTTTCAAAGACACAGGGATCTTGCAGACAAACGTTAGAGAAGAGATCAAAGATGCATGTTGGAGATACCCATGGCTATTTACACTTGACTTTGAAAGAGGTGACCAAAGAAAAAATCCTCCCTGATAGCTTCCAGTGACCACATTAATCTGCTTAAGTAAAGAAGGCAGAAGCAGAGGAAAGAAATAGAGGCACCGCAGCTGGATGTGATTTGGAGATGGAAGATGAATGAAGGAAGATAGGAAGAACCAAAGACAGGAAAGGGWTTGCTTACCAAAAACCCTTAAACATCAGCTTTTCAGCAGTACAGTAATTATTCTTCAATTTATGTTTTTTTCCACTTTCATTTCAGAGGCATGTCGAAATACATCAGCTATATTATCAACACGGTATGTGTTCCTATCAGTATGGTAACACCTATCAGTTGGTACTGCATYCTAAAAAAGTGTTTCACTTACATGTTTATTTGGATACATTCCCCAGCCTTTATGTCAGAATTCTGGGTTTAAAGCTTTTGTTCATACGTTCTTCTATACTTCTGCTATAGTAGCAACACCTCATCTCACTGTGTTATAAGACCTCCCAATACGCTACGGACTACAGATTACCAAAATCTCCTCCACAAAAGCTGAGACAAATTGAAAAATTTAAGAAATAATTCCAAGCTGCAGGATCTCAGCGTATGTCTATATGGGTGAAAATGAACATACACACAAATTCTAACAATCATGCAGCCATATTATATTATGCATTGTTCAACACAGAAAAATAGGTCACAAAAAAAGAGAAATTATATTCTAATTGGAATTACATTAATATTTCCACTAAGCTTTTTAAATCTAAGATTCAATAACCCAAGAAACACACCATAAAATCATAAATTATCTCCTTTATGATTATAAACAGAAGAAAATATTTTAAAGAGAGTACAGCTATTTTATATTCAAACAAAATGGAAACAAAGATGCTTCAATTTATAAAGATATAAGTCAGAATCTACTGCTATTTTAAAAATGTCTTTACTAAATGAGAATTCAGGATTTCACACTTAACATGTGTGTAGGAAGCAGTCATGGTGCCTGAATACCTGTTGGCTAAGTCACTAGCCAAGTAAAATTTTCCTCARCAAAAATCAACCCTTGGTGTACTACTGTTATGTGGCAGAGTATTCCCAGTGAGATGTTTAAAAGCAGAAATGTCATAGCTGCATAAGCTGAACAGTCACACTCTTCTTAAAGTACTGTATACCGAACAGGGAATTTTATAATGCAGACTCATTTAATAATGCTATCTCTTTATCTTATGTTAAMGCACAAAACCAGAATCTTATAGCACAAACCCAGAATCAAGTATTTTGTGTATCTTTAAATAAAAATGCACAAGAAATAACTACTTTTCTGCATCTGATGATCTATACTCTAAAAGTATCTAAACTTCTGAATGAGTTTGTTCTTTCAAAATACAAAAATCTGTCATAGAAAATTTCTCATTGCTGTATAATATTTTAAGGTTATAGAAAAGACACGCTATTATTGTTCATGCATTTTTGTTTCATTTTTTACAGAACCTGAATTTGATGTACAGTACCTGTAAATGCTTTACAATATTCACGACTTCTCTAGTTGAATAGGGATAGGCAATAATTCCTTGATCAGCCAAACTCCTGAGTTCTCCAAAAGCAGCTACCAATTTTTGAAGAACTGGCTCTGGAACATCAGGTCCATATTGCCTAAGCATAGCCAATTCTGACTGTGGTTTGGGATTATCAACAGCATGACAACTAAAAATGTCCCCTAAAAGAAAAAAAAAACATAAAGTTAAGCAATTTATAAAGAGATTACAAATTTATAAAGAGATAGCATAACAACAGCATAACAACATTCTTAAATTTCTTACAGCAGTCTAAATAGAAAAGTGATTGGTCAAGAGGATGCTGATCATCTATTTGTTGAAAAAAAACCCAAACTAACCAACAGAGAAACCTGCCACTTGGTAAAATGCAGAGGATTAAGTTGTTACGAAAAAATGTACAGGATCCAAGAAAACAGAGGTCTCTTCCACCCTTCTCATGAAGGGTGATCGCAAGAGATAAATTTCTCTCTCTCTCTCTCTCTCTCTCTCTCTCTCTCTCTCTCTCTCTCTCTCTCTTTCTCTCTTACTTCATTTGATTTGTGTTTCTTCTTGAAATTGAGAGAAAGAAAGAAAGAGAGAAAGAAAGAAAGAGAGAAAGAAAGAAAGAAAACGTTTTAAAGAAAAAAAGTTTTAAAGAAAAAATAAGAAATGTTGTGTGGGACCAATCTGTGAAAACTGTCAAAATACCAACAGATACAGGAAAATACTAATACTCAGGAATGCCCTACAGCAAATCCTGTGAGGTCTGGAGGACCTCTAGGTTTCTCATTTCTTTCTGTATACCTTGCAGTGTGGTAGGAAATTTGTCAAGCTAATATTTACATACATTTGCATTATAACTGCCTCACTCATAAATTCTGTAGGACTGAATTTATTCGCAAAGAATATTTAAGAATATTTATTAAATAATATTTAATTTAAATATTTAAAGAATATTTAAAACAGAAGCATGACTGGATGCTTCTGAAAAGGAATACAGTTAGAATCAGATAGAGTCTGAAAAATACAATCAATAGGAAGACCTGTTGATCTCAACAAGATCAACTCAACCTTTGTCATGTGGGGCAAATACAACAGTACTGGGATAATCAGTTTTCTTCACAGTGTCTGTATGAGAGGGAAATTAAGTCATGAAAAAGAAATAGGCTTTAATAAAAACATCTTGGTGCAACACAGCTGAGTGAAATTCAATGCCAGTGGGTCTGAGAGATTGTATGCCCATCCACTGCAAACTATATCTGAAAAACACAAAGCTGTTTTGCAATACTAGCTGGGTTTGCTCCTAGTTCTATGATGTACACTATTTTATGCTTTTCAAGAATAAGCATAACAGTCAAAGTATCAATGAGCACACATAGGTAGCTAAGCTAGAGTAGATAACATAGTCACTGGAGACCGGAGAGCTGTTCAGCTGGTATTCCAGGTGTGATACTGCCCGAATTGAGCTACAGGTAGACATAGACTAGTTTTTGCCCGACGATGGAGGTCTGTAGAATCTTCTTGTTGCTCTATAGGATTTTTTGGAACTAACAAGAACTGTGGAAAAGAAATGACTGTTAACAGGAAGAGTTTTGATGAGATATTTGGAGATAGTTATATGAAACYGGGCTGACTTCAATATCTTGTCAGATATACGCATTTTGAGAAGGTCTATCATGCATGGGCCATGTGCATGGAGAAGCTAATGAAGATTTACAAGCAGGTGGCACAGTACTAGCACTATAAAAGATTGTAGCCCCCCCTCAAGGAAACAGAGGAAAAGATGATGCATCAAGCTCACCTCTTCCACTTAGGAGGACAACACTTGGCCAGTGTCGTTTGATACAGAAAAATCAGTGAGGAAGTGTATGAATCATTTGTGTGACGTATCAAACTGCTTATACCTTACGTTTTCTGTACATTTGTATATAATGCAACATAGACTCATTATGAAACACTTCTTGAATCTTTGTCTGCCTTCTGTGGCTGTCTAGATCCCATAAAACAATCCCCGTAATCCGTTCCATTAAAGTTCAACATTTAATATGAATAACTTACCTAGTGTGCCAAAAAAGTCATTCCCCAAGAAAGGAAATCCAGGTCTGTTTGCTAGAACTATCATTCTAAAATCAGGATGAATTACTATTACATTTTCTCTCCCTTCTATATTAGCATGATCTGGAAAATAAGTAAAATTTAATAAATACATATTTAACCTAAACAGTTACAACAAACCTCTCAGTAACTTAGCAGCATGCCCTTTGTGAGTGTTCCAGGCTTCACTTTAAAATTTCATAACTTGTTTSATAAAAAATTAAATGAATTGTTTCACTTAAAAAATGCAGCAACTGTTCTTGGAATGATGACTACTACTCCTATTTGTATTTAATTTAACTTTTCTGAAGTAAGCAGTCAAGAAAGTAGTGTTTTACAGAGATTTGGAATCTTTTGGGCTGGGGAAACAAGTCTGAAGTTTCCCCTGAAAATACTCTAAAGATTGTGAAAAGTCAGAGACATATGTGAAGGCTCTGTCACTCAAAAATCAATCAGTGTGGCTTCTCTTGCTCCCTGGCAATGTGTCTTCATGGGCACATGGTATTTAGGAATTCTTTTACTTCATCTACAACTTCAACTACAGTACAAACTGCAACTGGGTAGCAAGATTTTTTTTTAAATGTCCATCTACAGTTCATAATCACAAGCACTTATTACCTGAGGCACGGTGTCTAGTCACATCAGGACACTAGTCTTTCTTTGAAAAATTACAGAATATATTACTCCTGCTATGCATACGAATCAAATTTCAATTACAAAATATTTGCATCTTGCAGGAAATATTAAAATAATGAAAATACAAAATTTTATTAGCTAAAACCCTTTAAAAATCTATCTTAGGTATTCTGTCATCTTTACTCCTGGTCCTGACAAAATCATACCCCAACTATTCAGATGAGCAGATGAAGCTTTAGTGTGAACCTTAGTTTTCTAATTCCTCAACAGAATTCATTATAATACTAATTTAAGAAAATGTTTGCAGTTATTGGAGGAGTAGCTTATGAAGTAATCTTTGAAACATAAATATTTGGCATCTCATACRTTTAAAATCATTTGCTGGGGAGAAAATAAGTTCACTCCAAATTATTTAATTGATAACCTTTTGGCATAAAATRCACATACTCTTTCTACTTAGACTCTCTAATTAATAATGTGGTTGCTGAAAACAGAAGCAACCTGCCATGTTTTACTGCATATGATCAAAACACTATCTACTTACTGGCAACAATTCGCCTTCCATCTGACAAAACCATTTCTCCACTTTCTACTAAAGTTTTCAAGATGCAGGTGACATTTGTTGGTGCTTTGTCTGCCTCATCAATTACCAAAACATGTCCAAACTTCACTGCTTTTACCTAGAAGAAAGAAGAATGGAATCATCACAATCCCACTGAGAAAACTGCAAGAACCTATTACGACTTCTTGGTAGTAAGAAATATCTCAGTGACACTGACAGAAAAAAAGGGAGTTAGAATGGGGGAATAAAATCTGAACTGCAGCAGACTGAAACAAAGAGGAAGCAGTAAAARATAAAGAAAGAAAAGTTTTTGGCACATGGATGAATAGGACTGTGTGAGAGAGGGAACTGACGACCCAAAGTGAAGATGAACTGGAGTACAGACAGAAGAAAAGTGCATGAACCATCTGGGTCCAATTGTCAACATGAAGCTGAAAGAACTCAAGAACAGTTGTAGGTGTTATTTGAGTCCAGCACTGATGCAGGATACTTTTAGATATTAGAATGGAAGCAAGAAAATATCACTGCATCAATTCAAACATGTTAGGTCAACACAGACTAAATTATTTTTCATGCTCACTTTGTGTGTTCAGACTCCAAAGATTATCACTCAGCTCGGCAGTGGGCAGAGAAAGCTTGACAAGTGTGAGCAAAGTTAATGATGTGTAACCACAGACACCAACCCTCCCACGCAATACTAAGATCACCAAGTATTTTCTTATTTGAAAGTGCCAGGRTATTTCACTATTTATTTTAAATTAAAAAATATAGAACCAACTACTCACCAATGGTGAATCTTCATATATAATAAGTCCATCTTTAACAGAAGGTTGTAGAGTAAGGCTTTGTACAGTGGTATCTCTGAAAAGCAGAAAAATAAAATATTAATTGAAATACAGTGGAACTTTAGTCATAGYAAGCTCCAAAAAGCACATATGAAGYTGAAAACTCTGTTYTTCTCTTCTGTGGGAGGAACAATATTTTCTAGAATTCATAGAGAACTTAAACTGAAACCACCAGTGTGGTAGCTTGTTGGTCAAGGGAGAGCATCATAGCAGCACTCAATCTTTTATAAACCCTGGAAATGAAGACATTGAAAAGTCAATTATTGCTTTTGCATGAAGGTACATTACTACTATTACTACTACTTCTAGTTAAGTATTTTAAACCACCATTTACATGACAAAGAAGGAAATTACACAGAAGAAACAGACAGGAATCCACTCCATTATAGTGAATTCGTTAATATTTTGGTAACTCTTCTCCACATGACATATCGTCAGGAAAAAGTAAGTCTAAAAATATTCCTGTGGAATTCCAAAAATCAACTATTTTTAGTTCAATCTAAACTGTACCAGATGGAATAACTTTTACTAGCACTTGCTACAATTTGTATCATAAACAGTTTAAGTTCTCAAAGGGGATGAGAAGGCTAAAATAGCAAAGTATTTCTTTTTGAAAACCTATTTGTGGCTAAAGTCTCAAATCTTTTTTTTCCTTCAAATTAAAAGTAGCCTAATAAAAACCTGTAATAAGAATATTYCTTAATCTACATTATCTATTTCAATCAAAACAATGTGCAGATAAATGAAAAATAGCAGCTATTCAGACAGGGTCAACACAAAATATCACCACACTGGATTTCACAGAATCACAGGTTAAGGGAACTTCTAGAGATCATCCAGTCCAACCCCCTGCTCCAGCAGGGACACCCAGAGCACGGGGCACAGGGCRGCATCCAGGCGGGTTTGGGAGATCTCCAGAGAAGGAGACTCCACAGCCTCCCTGGGCAGCCTGTGCCAGGGCTCTGKCACCCTCACAGGGAAGAAGTTCCTCCTCACACGGAGATGGAACTGCCTGTGTTGCAGCTTGTACCCATGGCCTCCTGTCCTGTCACTGGCCACCACTGAGAAGAGTTTGGCCCCATCCTCCCTACATTCTCCCCTCAGATACTTATACATATTGATCAGATCTCCTCTCATTCTTCTCTAGGCTAAACAGGACCAGCTCGCTTAGGTTTTGCTCATAAGATAGATGTTCCAGTCCCTTAATGTTGCCCTTGTTGTGCTCCATTGGACATCTCTCTTGTCCTGAGGAGCCCAGAACTGAACACAGTACTCCAGGTGCGGCCTCACCAGAGCTGAGCAAAGGGGCAGAATCACCTCCCTTGACCTGCTGGCAACATCCTCCTGATGCAGGACAGGATCCCATTGGCCTTCTTGGCCACGAGGGCACTGCTGCCTCGTGGTTAACTTAGTGTCAACCAGGACTCCCAGGTCCCTCTCCGTGGAGCTGCGTTCTAGCAGGGCAGCCCCTAATCTGTMCTGGTGCCTGGGGTTATTCCTGCCCAGGTGCAGGACCCTGCACTTTTCCTTGTTGAACCTCATGAGGTTCCTCTCTGCCCAACTCACCAGCCTGTCCAGGTCCCTCTGGATGGCAGCACAGCCCTCYGCAGTGTCGGCCRCTCCACCCAGGTTGGTATCATCTGCAACTATGCTCAGGGTGCCCTCTGTGCCCTCATCCAAGTCATTGATGAACAATTTGAACAGCACCRGGCCCAGTACTGACCCCTGRGGGGACACCAGTGGCCACAGGCCTCCAACTGGACTTGGCACCATTTATCACCACCCTCTGAGCTCTGCCATCCAGCCAGTTCTCAATCCACCTCACTGTGCACTCATCCAGTCCACACTCCCAGAGCTTTCCTATGAGGATATTACGGGAGATGGTGTCAAAACCCTTGCTGAAGTCAAGGCAGAGAACATCCACAGCTCTCCCTTTGTCTATCCAACCCATCAYCCCATCATAGAAGTCTATCAGGTTCATCAAACAYGATTTCTTCTTGGTGAATCCATGCTGACTACTCCTGATCACCTTCTTCTCCTTGACATGCCTAGAGAAGCCCTTTTCCAGGGACGGAGGTGAGGTTGACCAGCCTGTAGTTTCCCAGCTGCTCCCTCTTGCCATTTTTGAAGACTGTAGTGAAGTTGGTTTCTTCCAGTCCTTGGGGACTTCCCCTGTTCTCCATTACCTCTTGAAGATGATGGAGAGCAGCTGAGCAATAACCCACACCAATTCCCTCAGCACTCTTGGGTTTACCTCTGCATCTCATGTCAGGAACCAGGGGGAAATCCTCCTGATTCTAAACCTTGTACTTGGCAAGTAGATTATGCAAGGCATTTGCTCCTACATTTCAAGATTTGGATTATCCAAATTCAGAAGRATGTCAGCAGAAGGATGAGCTGTTAATGTCACCTAATCATACAGGAAAGTGCATTTTTGTTGCTTGAGACCCACACGCTGGTCAACAGGTAAGGCTGGTAACTTTTGTATCAAAGTGCAAGATTTGATACAACAAAAATTTCTCACTTTTCACAGCAATGCAGTAGAAAACAAACTATTTGGTTATGCTTATGCATTCCAAATGTCTACTTTCCTTCTACCTTTCATTTTGAAGCAGCTTGTAAAAAAATCAACAATAGGATATTGTTACCAGGATGGTAAGCTCCATGGCTACAGGAAATCCAACACAGTGCTATTTGCAGTAAACTACTAAATGGTCAGCTTCCAATGACAGCTTAAAACTGACAGCATAACATGCAAATCTCCTCATTTTGAAACTCCTGTCAGAAGGATTTCTTTCCCTAACAAGTAATACTTCCTTGTTTAGCTTTAAACTCATGACTGATTTATCTCAATGTCTCCCATGCAAAGCAATAAAGCACAGGGAGGAAACAGAGCTATTTAATATCTGGCTACTTCATTTGGACTTTAATCCAGAAGAGAAGAGGCTACAAAGCCAAAATTTCCCCCCAATCATTTATCTCCAGCAACCTCAGCCTCTCAAAAAGAAAAACAACTCTCTAAAGATAACTGTATCGCACTGTGTTTACATGCAACAAATGCAGCTCTGCATAATTTTTATAACCACTTAATCCATTATCCTAGAAAATCACAAGTGGAAGCAACACTAACAGACCTGTCATGTTTGTTTCTTGGGCACAGATGACTTGGGGACTAAATTCTCAGACCACATGCATCAGCCCTGCAGACAGTTATTGTTTTTAGTTAATACTGCCTGGTTGTAGTGGTAGAAGGGTTTAAAAGAGTGCAAGCCAAATAATACAGTATATGAGGACATAAGTGAAGGTTACTAATTACTCAGGATTAACCCATAGAAAAATATTTTAAGGAATTAATCCCTGGAGAAAAGAGGGATTTTTCAAACCTGAACTGTGAGTTCTTTAAAGTAGAAGTATGGTCAGAAAGTGAGAGGATTGTAAGAAAGCACAAACCAAGAATAAGGTGAAGAATGCTAAACATCAGCCATGAAAAAGCAGCCAATGAGTGCATAAACAAAAAAAAACAAAACAAAACAAAAAAAAAAGAACAGAATATGGGAGGAAATATCTGTATTGGGACTGTAGACGAGCACAAGTGACCATAGAAGAAAAAAGAGAAATGTAAAATATGTATGTAAATGTAAAATTGTGCTTTACTCTAACACAAAACAATGTATTTTACTTTTGTGAAYTGGTTAATCCGCTGCTTCTGCATAACCTCTGCTATGGAATACCAACTTCTGCCTAATACCACCACCAACTCACATAAATCTACAGGATGATTTCAATCAGGAAGATAGAATTAACTCTGTCTTTGTGGGAAATTAACATTGGAAGTGTTTGCAGTTTTCATGCTATCAAAATTGCAGAAATCAGTATAGAATGCAGAAGGAACAGAAAAGAAAGAACAACCGACATCCTAAAGCCAACTTCTAACTCTCTTTGTATTTTGTTACTGGTAGTTCCCTGTTGTTATTCAGACKTAATAACTTAAGGAAATGTTCAGAAAATTTGCAATGTACTAATGCTAAATATACAGCCAAATGTTAATTCCTTTTGTTTGATGACATAAATGGATGCAAAACTCTGTATCTGCTTAGGCTACGATATTCAGCAAATGTACGTAAGAATGATCTAGCTGGGGTTAGCACAGAAAAAGGAACTTTTACTTTTGGAATCAGAAGCCATGCAGCTAGATATCATTAACTTCTGTTCTTCGGAAACCTAACATGAAGTAAGTTCAAAAAACTGCTAAAATAATTTGCCTACTTAGGCCTTTCTCTTAAATTTTCACTTTGTAATTAGATATATAAATGAAAAGACACTCACTGAAGGAAAGAACAGTAAATCACACAGAATCACAGAYTGGTTGAGGTGGGAAGGKACCTCTAGAGTCCAACCTTCCTGCTCAGCCTTCCTGCTCTAGTCCAACCTTCCTGCTCCAGCAGGGACACCCAGAGCACGGGGCACAGGGCGGCAKCCAGGCGGGTTYTGAAGACCTCCAGATGTCCAGAYGTAGAAGCAGRTGAGGAAAAACTGTGTCAAATTTTCATCCTACTTAACTGAACAGATATTTCTSAAGTTGCAAAAGAGAAATCAGCAAGAAACAGCACAGAGATCAGCGATATCTTTCCTAAGAACTTTTTTTTCTCTGTTTTTTTTTTCCTTCTTTTTTTCTCCCAAGCATTCAGGGAGATTCAGGAKATTCAGGGAGGGAAAAAAAATCTGTTATCAACACCCTTCTTCCAACAATTCCATTTAATTCACAGCAGCACTTCTGAGACCGCTTGTGATGGTTTTTTTTGTTTAAGTTCACTCGCTTACAGCAGTGAACTAGTCTGTTCTGCCAATAGAAATTTACTTTTTGCTGCTGGGGTATTATTTACCCCAAAGGGAGCCCTCAAGCCTTGCTGAATACATACTAGTCCTTGACAATCACTACATCTTTAACAGCAACACCTTCTTTCCTGGGGTAAACTAGGAAACATGGCAGGAGACATTTCTATAAACCACAGAAAA